TTATTATTATTATTATTATTATTATTACCGCATGTATCCCCGCAGGTAATTTTATGAGGAAAACTTTGCAACAAAAGAGTAGTCTCCCAGGGCTACAAAGTAAATAAATAAATAAATAAATAAATAAATAAATAAATAAATAAATAAACAAATAAATATAATTATAATTACTTCTTTCTTCACTGCAGTGCTCATTTGGCTAGTTGGGTGATTACCGGACACTATCTTCTCAATTTTTATCCTCTACAGAAAGAAAAAGGCAGCAGCTGCATAAAACTGCAGTACGTCTAATTTAAAATTTCTTACGTTTCCAACTTCACTGAATGACTGCTGCAGCTCCACGTACTTTTTGCTGTTGCTAGGCGACGTGATATTCAACTGAGACAAAGATTTACGTAACTATAAAAATAAAAAATAAAATAAAAATAATAAATATACACTTACCACTGAGCCACATTTCTGCTCCATGTCCTTCATTAAAAGTCCTAAGGTTCTTTCTCTTTTATCGGCAAACGTCGAGATAGAGTAAGAAGCCTTCTCACCATTAATGACTAAAAATAATAAAATAATAATAATAATTTAATTTATTTATAGCTCACGTTTTGCTAATAAAAAATCCCTAAAAACAGAGTGGTCTTCAAATTCGCCCCCAGGGGGCAGAGGGGGCCCAAAACTCGGAATACTCTCGGCAGAGTGGAGTACCAGTCGATAAGAATCCCTCGACTTGCAGTAAGTGACGAGTGCGAAGATGTGGTTGAAATGAGAGGTGATGGAGGAGGGGCTAAAGGAGAGCGCCGACAGGTAAGCTCTGTCGTCTAATTCTTGGTCCTGAGCTCCATCAGAGTCAGCCCCCTCATCCTCAATGAATATAATGGTTACTATGTCGTTGCCAATGTGTCTCTTTCGCTCCAGCTGGAGAACAAAAACAAGAAAAAGAATAATAAACAAACACTTTGAATAAAGGATTGATACGTCTGTGTGTGTACATGTACATGCATATAACATCTCCATTTATAAACAGTAGTACATGTACATGTATATGGTTTTAAATGCGGCAATTAAGATACTTTAAATGTAACGTATCTATACACGAATGCTGACCACAAATTCACCAAATTAAAATATCAAATTTGTCAAGATGCCACACCTTCCCCAAACCACTCAGGCGTAACGTAGATACCATAACTTCACCTGTTGTTTATTTTCCTCCGAATACGGTAACATTGTCGACACATGGAACATGACCTCGTGACCACCGAACACTGTGTATACCGATTGACTACCGGTGGCGTTGTTACGAGTATCCAGACCTCCTTTGTAATGGGCCCAACCAAACAAATCAATCGTATCACCTAAAAGATCCAAAAACTGATTGAAACACGGGCTTCCAGCTTCTATAAAAAAGAAAAAATAAATATTATATATATATATTTTACAAGACTTACTGTTGCTAAGCATCTCATTATCGGTTGTCTGACCGGTTTTTGCGTAAATTATACCAAATTTAAAATTAATTGACCCTTCCTGTTCTTCCAGTGTCAGGAAATCCTTTGAAAAATGTAAAGGATCAGGTCACATGAAAGTCATGTGACTTACTTTCTGTAAAGTTGCACTGGAGATATCTTTAACAGTCAACTTGTCTGATTTTGGTACAGAAAATTTCCTGAGAGAGAGAGAGAGAGAGAGAGAGAGAGAGAGAGAGAGAGAGAGAAGGGAGGAGAGAGAGAGAGAAGGGAGGAGAGAGAGAGAGAAGGGTAGAGAAAGAGAGAGAGGGGGGAGGGAGGGAGAGAGAGTATTTATAAGATCTACATGTATAGTAGGTAAACACAGCTCAAAGCAAACAGCTGCTCCATGGCTTCCATTAATTACAAAAATGTCAATAATGATGCTTTGACGACACATTCAAATGTAGAAATACATAAAATTTGTAGACACACACACACCAAGTCATGAATACAGACATAAACTAATAATACTTTAAACTATTCAAACACACAGAGAGAGAGATAGCATTACATTACTCATCACCATACAACATGGTGAATACACTGTACTGTACATCTACACATGACCTACTCTTAACTCTTATTAATAATCAAAGATCAAAAGGAGCACGGTCTTTGATCCAGTACTATCCTATTTCCCTTTTCCTCAACCCTCTCCTTCCTGTCTCATAGATTAACAATACACTGTACTATTATACAGTGTGTTTAACACAGTACATACTCATCTACAATACACATGTACATGTACATACAGCTGGTAATAAGTATGAGCAATATAACATTATGTAACGTTTATAACATTTACTCTAAAATTGTCTTTGGTGGTGGAATTTTCCCAGAATGCTGTATACAGAGCCTCTTGTTCCCCTGCAAGTATGTTTAGATAAATGTCGTATCATTATAGTTTACATGTTCTCTCACTCACTTTCTTCCTCCATAAAATGGAGCGATAGACTGAATCAGCTGCTACCACAGAGAGGAAGAATGGAGTCTTT